AGAATACCAGTCAAGAACCCTGCACAAGTGTGTCAGGGGGAAACAAGTGAATATATTGTTGTCAGTCCTATTACATACATGGCCCAATTAACGTAAGCATAGGTGAAGGTAGGTCTGGCGGACTGATAACAGTTTAATTATTAGCTTGTTTGTTGACACATCATGGGAGAATGAACAGGTAAGCCAACAAGTAATTCAACAAATAACCTCGGAGAGACATATGACTGCAAACATCAAGCCATTTTGATATAAGCACTCAAGTTTTACAAGTACCCAGTAAATGACATGTATATAATGTGACAAAAATGCATTTGCTAAAAAAAAGAGTGTTTTACAAACTAAGTTGGCTTATCAATAAGTTGGCAATATAAATAAGATTTAATGCAATGTTCAGGTGAGGTTGAAATTATTTTAGTGTATATACATTTATGTGTACAGTTTCCAATGGTAATACATGTATGTGGACATTGTTTGATATATGAGACTGCCTTTGAACATCATCAATCACAACATTTTACTCTCCCTGTTATTGTATCCATGCATACCCTCTAGGCAGACAGTAAAGATTTCAGCTGATAAAGCTTTTACATGTCATTAGCATATCCAGGATGTGGGTGATGTCATATATCAAAGATAGCTCACTTGCATGTACAGTATTTAGTAAGTATTTTATCCTTACAGTTTACACAACATTATCAAGGCTATATTGTTATAACACCATTTCATATATTGATATGTAATAGTAATATGAATAGAGAATGCATTTGACCTCCGTTTTTTTGCTTCAGTGAGTGCTTCCTAGAAGACCTAATAGAAGATGCATAAATACATAACATATGAATGTTATGGTGCCCTCAGCTGTTGCAGTTCAGATGTCCTGTGCATCTGATCAAAGTCTTCCTGTTGATTAATGATCACAGACATGGCTGATTTTCTCTGCTACAGGAAAGACTGTGAACAGCTGTTACATGTAGACCTTCCTAGAGGGTGAATCTTGGCCCTCTGAACTGCAGAAAGTACATTGTATCATTGACCAGTAAGAAAACATGACATTGATGCATTTGGAAGGATTCGAGACAGGTGGCATTTGACCCCATGGAGATAAATATGTAACAGTTTGATGCAGGGAGAATTGATTTTATCCTTGATGTTTGTCAAGTTTGTTATGAAAATTACTTCATACTTTATTTGGATAAAAATTGCCATTCCAAAGAAATATTTTCTGTCAATTCTCTATGTAGCAGAAACTGCCAAATTATTTGAATGTATTTAAAGAGAAGCCCTCTTGCCCCAAGAAACATGTTTATGCACAGAGCCAGGGCATGTGGTACACTAGTCACATGGTACTGTTGTTTTGATCAGTGACTTCTGTATGACCTCCAGTCTCTATGGCCTGTAGGTTGCCTCTAATAGATTCCCTCCCTGGCTGAACCCTAAATAAGAACAAGGCTGAAAAAAATATGATATAAATTATGAAGAAAGGTCAGAATAGTTGAATAATTGGCCAGACAATTTAAAGGTATCAGGAAACCATGCAGGTGAAAGTAGTCTGACAGACTACCACAGTATGACCCAGAATGTTGTTTTTGTGACCCAGTTGGGACTGGAAGGCAGGATGTTTCCAGTTGTGGAGGGGAGACCAGGTTCCAATTTTTTTAGAGGTTAGCAAGTTTAGTTTGCCAGGACTTCGTGAAATGTGCAGATGTCATATATTATTATATAAAAGGTTAATGAAATGGTCACCGTGGAAATAAAAACACAGCAACTGTCTTGAGATTTACAGATGTACCCTAGCATTAGCTTAGTTAGTGGAAAAGTCGCTGGAATTTTAATGGTACAGGACAGTAATTTAGAACCCTGTTATGTGTTGTGTAAACAGCGCAGGAAGACTACTGACTACTGGTGTCTATATGGGGTGTCTGATCATATGACCTGACCCATGAAGTCTAAGGTCCCATAACACATGTGTTTGTCTTCAGCTCCCAGGGCCATATTCAGGTCAGATCCCACAGAAACTTTAAAAACCCATAAAAATTCTTCAGCATTCAGTTTGTGATGATAAATTTATCTGTTCTGACAGGTGATATTTACTGGTGACATTTATCTCTTTTCCCCATGTGACATACTTTGTTGTAGACTGGCTTGAGGTCATTGCTGACAATGATATATTACCTGATTATAGTTTGTGCTTATAAAGGCTGTAACACCAGCAGCCAAAAGAGTAAAAAGTCTTAAATTAGCTGTCGACCAAAAAACTTTATCTTTGAAACTTCTCTCATTCATCTATCAGAGAGAATTTGACATGATAAATTTTAAGTTGGGAGAAATTTGGCATGACAACAAGTCGTTTTTAGTCTATTTTTGTGACCAGATGTGCATGTTTATTCCCATTTTCCTTAGGAGGCTAAGGGACTGTACGATATTTACCGGGGGGGGGGGGCGGTCGTCTGAGGGGGGAGGGCCTAGGAAAAAAATTTTGAGCCGGGGGGAGGGCCTAGGAAAAATATTTTAATTTGGGGGAGGGCCTAGGTAAAAATTTTGTCAAAGATCCCTTTAAGTCCACAACGTTTTTATACACTTTCAAAACATGATTAACGTCTGTCCCATACATGTCGTAGCGATTTGCTGGTCATTGGAATCGGCAGAATTTTACGCTCCAATAATATCCATCCCTATTATTATAAAATGTATTCGCCCAAATCTCCCACAGTCCTCTTCAAAATCTTGCATTTTCGCCAGAATCGGCGAAACTGGACTACACAACCAAATTACATGGATTAAAGTCGTGTCAATCGCGGCTATCGAAACGATACCGATAAAAAAATGTAGGGAAGGCTTGTCGGAAGGTTTTGAAAATTAATTTTCGCCGTTCAACGCACCCATCCCAGTGGTGTGCGTGCGTCGGCAAAGGTGACCCGCTGGTCCCGCCTCGCAACTCGCTCAAACTTCTCGGCGTGGATGTCGGATGTTAATTTGGTATTTTTTTTAAACCAAGGACTATTTTAACATTTATATCTATGTCCCTCCAAAGTTAATTGAAAACCACACGTAACTTGGCAATAGTGTTTCCCTGTTTGTAATAAAATTGACGCGGAAGAAGTTCGTGGACGAAAGGTAGGCTAGATTTATTTCGATTACACTGACTGACCGTAACGTTACCGACTTTAATAGCTCGATGTACCAGCGAAATTTGTGGTGCCAAATTTGCCCCTCAACATGCAAAACATGGGTTGAAATTCTAAAAGTTTTCCGGGGGGGACATCGCCCCCCCCCCCCCGCCCAAAAGCCGGGCCTACTCGGGTTCTAGTGGCGCCTTCGGCGCTTCATGCGGGGAAAATTTGTAATCAAAATCTCGTCCTCCCCATACAAAATTTCACTCTCTATGATTCACACCTGGGGGAGGGCCTAGGAAAAATTTTTTTACGCTACCCCCGGACGACCGGCCCCCCCTCCCCGGTAAATATCGTACAGTCCCTAATGGTTTGGAGACCAAACATCAGAAGTCACTGTTGGCCTAAGAGCCACAGCACATTTCTGTGAAACCACAAGATAAGCTTTCTAGGCTAAGTAAATGTCTTGAGTGCAGAACTGCTTATTTACTAGGCAACCCCATTAACCCAGTCAATCTGTGGCGAAGCTCACTGAATAAGTTGGAAGTGGGTCTGTTGGTGGGATTGCAGGTTTGTACCATATGTCTGAGTCCTTCTTTCTCAGATACACATTGGTAGTTTGCAGAGCATTAAGCGCATCGCATCTAGCTTAAAGGCTTTGGTTTGATGGTCAAACAGTTAACTCCAATATGTGCATTGCTCCTAAAAATACATGAAGGCAGTCATAGCTACATAAGCATCACTGTTAGCCTTTATGAAAGGTCTACAAAGTACAAGACGTGCTTGCAATGTCACAAACCTTGTGAAAACAAATGAAAGGCAATTGAAAACCAATTAAAGGCAGTGCAGTTGTTAAAAACGTAATCATTTTCAAATTAATACTAACACCGAGCAGATTATTATTGGAATGAGCAGAGCACTTTGGACTAATGCCTCTGACCATTTACAGCTTAGAGGTACATATCCAATATTTTGTCAAAAACTTCTCTGTTACATAGCGGATCATAATGACCCCCAGTGGGGGTCTTCACGCTTCGTTAAAAATTGAAAAATCTCAATATTTTAGACGAAATCTTGAGATCTTATGACCTCTAAGCTGTAAGTAGTCAGAGGCATT